CCAAAACTTTAATATTTATTATACAAAATTATGTTTCCATTAACGTGTTTCGTCATACAGACTTCTTCAAAATGGAATGCAATACAATACCTGGCAAATAAGGTTTATATAGGCATAGCTCAATACAAAATTTGGCGCCAAAATTTTTTTCAGCCAATCAGAGTGAAAATGCATATATATATATATCAAAATAACAATAATCAATTATTTCTAAGTAATACATTCATTAGTGAGGCATATTCAGTGAGTTTTTATTAACTTGATGAAACGGGTTAATGGAAACATAATTTTGTATAATAAATATTAAAGTTTTGGTTACTTGATAGTTCCCATTATCTTTATTGATACATTTATCCCTGGCAAGTTTTATATATATCTGATAAATTTTTATCCCAATTTTAACAACACTCTCACAAGTTCCTGTGCAGCTAAAGAAATCCTAGGTGGGGATTATTCCACCAGCGCTGACAGCAAAGAGCAGTTGGCCTGCTCTGTACTTGTAAGTACGTTTTTATTTCTTACCTACTATATATATCCATACAGAGAGCACTATCTGGATTGTTTCTGTTCTCTTTGAGTCTCTGGATACCTCTGAAGAATCGATACTCACCAAATATCCCATAAGCGGGGATTATACCGCAGTGTGCGCACTACCCTAGAGCTTGACAGAAGCTCTTAAAAATTGTGAGTTCGCTACTTATATTTTACTCTACCTGAACCATACATATTGCACTATCGGTTGTTCTCTCTTTTATATCCAATACTTGAAGACCCTGTTCCTGTACCCAAGGACGACAGAGAGGACACTTTTAGGTTGGACTTTTACCGCTATTTGGACTGGTTTTTATTCAATTTATTTTTACTTGGCGCAGCCCTTCTTTTATATTTTCTTTTTAAGTTGTGTGAATACCTGGATGCCATGTGTGCAGCTAAAAACTCACGTGGATATTTGTTTTGTGGAATTGTCTTACCTGTCTTTATCAGAGAAGGGCACGGCTTTAAATATAGTTTGGTATTCAGACCACAGGTGGTCCAGTATCTGTGGTGAATATTTAGAAAGATGTCTGACAGCCTGAAAAATATTGTTTTTTTTAGAAGAGAGAATACTTTATTTTAAATTTCTCAGAAAAAACAAAAATATGACTATCAAGAATATATGTCAATGGCAAGATTTGTGCAAAATTACACTATAATTACATCTATATGGATAGGAGTAAACACTTACATAGGGACATAAGGTCTAGGACAAATAAGCAGTGAAATGATGTGGTGGGATGATGCATTTTGTCATCATGGACATGCTTAAACTGCAGCTTAAGAGGCTGTCTGCAAGCTGAGCAGTGTAAACAATGCATTTTCTAAGAAAAGGCAGCATTTATATTACTGTCTATGGCCACCTCTTGTAGCTGTTACTCTGGTAGCCACTAGAGGGACTTACCATTGTTTTTTCTACACAAAACGCTCCCCATAGATATGCAATGAATTAATGCATCTATGCAAGGAGGTTCAGTATGGCAATTAGCCATGCATGCCTTAAATCAGGATTGATGATGGGTGAATAAAGTTAAGTAATATCCTTTTTGTGTGGCTTAAATTAGGGGGGCATATAAACCAAAAACACATGGAGGCCGAATTCAATCACAATAGCTAGGTGCAAACCATATAAGTGCTCCCTCAAGTACTCAAATCTAACAATCTATATATGATACAGAATGCACACTATAACAAATCATAGTTATCAATACAAATCTTTAATGAGTATACAAATAACAAAAAAATACAAAAAGGAACAAAGTAACAACAGTACAAGGCAAATAGAAATCAAAAGTAATTTACCCAAAACTTTCAAGCCTCAAGGCAACCAGCAGGTGCCGAAACTTTGGAGTAATTGGTGGCTTGTGTTTCTACCTTGAGGCTTGAAAGATTTGGGTAAATCGTTCCTTGTTTACGTGTTTGATTTAATTTCCCAATAATAGATAACATGTTTTCACATACCATACTGCATTATGGGAGATGGCACTATAGCAATAAATTGCAAGGAACATTCAACTGACAAATCACTGGTACCAGCAGGTGCACTTGATGTTCCCTTAGTTATGGAAACCTTTTTTTTTAATGTTAACATTTTTGTGAAAGATGTAAGAATCTGGTGACCTTTAAGCTGTGTATTGAAGAACTAAAAGACACTCACTAATAGTGATGTCCCGAACGTTTCGCCGAACGGTTTGCCACGGATGGCGAACATATGCGCTGTTCGGTCCGCCCCTTATGTCATCATTGAGTAAACTTTGACCCTGTACCTCACAGTCAGCAGACACATCCCAGCCAATCAGCAGCAGACCCTCCCTTCCAGACCCTCCCACCTCCTGGACAGCATCCATTTTACATTCATTGTGAAGCTGCATTCTTAGTGAGCTGTCCAGGAAGTGGGAGGGTCTGGGAGGGAGGGTCTGCTGCTGATTGGCTGGAATGAGTCTGCTGACTGTGAGGTACAGGGTCAAAGTTTACTCAATGATGACGAATAGGGGGCGGACCGAACAGCGCATATGTTCGCCGTTCGCAGCGAACCGTTCGGGACATCACTACTCACTAACTTCTTCAGCACCCATTAGTCCAAATTAATCTCAAAGTCTGAGAAACATTATTGATCTTTATGGGAAATCTATTTGCAGTATACAGTATATTATGTCAGGTTGTGTTATGGCATGAAATCACAACCGATAATTGGATGTAAACTAAATCAGTAGACTTGGGCACTGCTGACATTTTAATTTTGCCCAAATAAATTTGGATGAAAAATAAAAAAAAAAGTGTGTTTTAATCCAAGCCTAATTTCATCTGTTTCTTGATTTGTTTTTGGAAGAAATTCAGATAGTTTGTTTTGGAATTTCATTTAGACAAATTAAATTCCGATCCGTTTCGTGGGTCGCATCTTGGTAACTTTGTGGATTGCCATATTTAAGGTTCCCAAACTAGGGCGCTGTTAAGTAGATGGCTCCTTTTTTTAATCCTTATGGCAATCCCACAAGTATTAGAGCGCTAACCACTAAGAAGCTGAAAGACAAAGTTTGTGCAAGGCCCTTCCTTTTCATAATTTTGGTCTTTTATACAATGTTACTAATACTATGGGGGCATGGGAGACCTGTGCCAGGTCCCCCTTTATTGGATTATTGCTGCCCAGTCACTTTTTTTGTTTGCTTTTTAACAACCACAGGCTGCTTGCTGTTGTAAAGAGACTAGCAACTGGGCAGCTATTGTAGGGACGGGATTGGAGGAGGGTCCATTAGGTCCACTCCCCATTATTATTTAGGGCCCCCACCTACTGCCAACGGGTGGAGGTCTGTTACATTTATGTAATAGCCACCACTTGCGGGGTGTGAGGGGACACTTTGTCCACCCGTTTATTTAATAGCCCCCGAAGGTGGACACTAAGTTACCCCATTTAGTTTAATAGCCCCCACTCACATGGCTCAGGTGGAGGCATGGGGGGACACTATGTTCCCCCCTAGGAAGAAGAGGGGAGTTTCAAATTTTTCAATATTACAAGGAGGGAGCTGCAAGCCAATAGCTTCCTCATTGTAATAAAAAAGACATACTAATGAAAGAAACTGCACGGACAAAATTTCGTCCAACATCAAATTGTTCTTTGTATTCGTTTATTAATATTTCGGACATATGGACGAATAGCTGATATTCACATAAAAACGTGTTTGTCCGAAAACGAATGCCCAAATCTAATTAGCGTCTGTGCAGTTTATGCTATAGTTCTGCAGAAACATTGAGTTAGGGAATTGCAATTTAGTCTTTAGTGACCAACTTTGTTGGGTTCTGTCCTCTCAGGAACTCTAAAGCTCTTCTCTCGTGCCAATGTAGGGTTTTTAGGGAAATAATATTCTGCCTCTTTTTCACATCTTTATTTCCCAGTGTTGACTGCTGGAGTTTGTGGAGAGTAAGGGAAGTAGTGAAGGTACCCCATCAGGCATGTGGATGCATGCCATATCAAGGTTGGCTGTGTTCAAAAAGACTGATGATGATTAGGGAGTACAGATGCCTTACTAGGCAGTGTTGCCTTTATGAATGAAGTAGAGGAAACGTGTGTATGATCATACAGAGAAAGTGTATTCATGAACTGTATACAGAAAATGTATTTTAATAGATGGTATTTATAGTTGTGTTTAAAAGTTTGCATACCCTTGGAGAATTGATAATATATATATACACCATTTTTAAAGAAAACGTGAGTGAGCTGGTCAATAACAGTTCTTTTATTTCTCATGGAATTCATAGTCAACGGTAGGTTATAACAGAATGGCACAATCATAAAACAAAACATGGCAACAAAGAAAACAATGAAATATCCCTGTTCAATAGTCTGCATTGGGGGCGGGGCCGGGCCGCCAGGCCGACCAGACGCCATTTACATGGGCTCCGGCACTAATCAGAGCAAAAGAACCCAAAATACCGATCCGGAACACCCAAACACCGGGTACCGTGACAGCAGAGGAAGGGAAATGACCCCAGCTATCTTCAGATGCCGACAAAACAACATACCGCAAGCAGGGTGAGCAAAAAAGGCCATGCCAGGTCTACACGCGGCAGAACACGCAACCGCCCGCAGCCAGCACACGCAGCACTATACCACAGAAAGGCACAGCCCCGAGACATCCGAACGGGGGATAAAACCGCCAGATGTGGGCTTGCCCCCGGCCCGGGGCACAGCCCTGCCCCCCCCTCTCGGCCGGCGGGGGTTATCCCGGCCACATGGCCGCGACCGGCGCCACAGGGGGAGCTCCCACGTGGGGCGCACGCTGGCCGCCTATACTGGCAAACAGCTGTATGAGGAACAGCAAGCCAGCAGGAGTTGACCCTGAAGCAGAGGAAAAGGGGATACCGCAGGGAGACACACAGCCCATGAACTAGCAGGGACGGCTTACTACTTGCGAAACAGCCCGCAGAGAGCATTGGCTAGATAGCTCTGAAACTGATGCGAGGAAAATCACCTGCACCTATATAGAGACATATCAGCATAGCATTCCGCTGAGGGCCACAGCGGAATAAAGCACAGAGGACTGACATGGACGGCCTGTGCAAGCCCAGAGGATGCTGGACAATCGACGGACACTCCGCGCGGCCCACAAGCTGGCTAGACCAGTGAGTACCCCAGTCTCTGGGTATGGGGGTCCCCAGGGAATCATGTCCCCACTGCTGCGAGCCCTGTGAGGCGGGAGTGCACCGCCCTACCGGTGGACCGGTGGCTGTGGGGGCAGAGTACCAGCCTTAAGCGTGAGGCCGGCACTGGGAGAGACTTGGGAACGCTCACTCCAGGGGGACCAACGTGACGCTGGGGAGGTGCAGGGGGCAAGAGTGCCGCGGACTTTGTGGTGGGGTCCGGCAGACAATCACTGCCCTTGAGTGCCCACGGTGCCGCGAAGGACCCGGCCGGTGAACTGGTGCCAGAGTGGGGAGGTCGGACAAAGGCTCGGCAACCTGAGGACTGCACTGCAGCAGAGACATGTGAGGCCTCCCTCAGCTTTTCACACAGGGCGACATATTGTTAATAATGTTTACTCTCTACCTGTTCCTATTCTGCGCATTTTGAAATTACACCAGACTGATACGCTATAAGATGACCGTACATGTAACCATCCCGGCTACAGTATTATCTAATGTTACACTGCAGTTTCAACACACATGCTATGACTGGCACAAACATCTTACATTCATCAGCAGACGCTTTAGACAAGCACAGATATACATACCAGTCACTGACGCCTGCACATTACTTATCTTTTGTTTCACATACGCGCCACTGTCACCACGCTACACACGCCACTATCCGAACACAAGTTGGTAATACTCCTTACCGTTCAACCGCTGATGTTTACTTGTACTTTACAAACGGAATATGCCATAATTGGACATAAGCTTCCCCGCTGCAGAAATGTACCTTTGCTTTATACTGACTGATTTGGCCTCTGCGTAGGCTCATAAAAGTTTTTCTTTCTTTCTCTTTTTAAATGCCTTACTGTATTGCTACAGAATGCATATTAACCAAGCTTATGACATGATAACAATAAACATATTTAAAACAAAAGTCTGCATTAGAGTGTGCCAGAAACTGTGAGGGGTGTCAAGGTGTTTTGGGGCATATTCTAACTGGGCTTTTTTTGTGGCATTGGTGCAGTAAAGGCTTCTTGCTAGCAACTCAACCACAAAGCTTATTTTTGTTTAAGTATCATCGTATTGTGCTCTTTGAAACAACCACACCGTCTTTTTCCAAAGCAGCCTGTATTTCTCCTGAGGTTACCTGTGGGTTTTTCTTTGTATCCCAAACAATTCTTCTGCCAGTTGTGGCTGAACTCTTGCTTGATCTACCGGAACTTGGCTTGGTATCAAGAGATCCCCGAATTTTCCACTTCTTAATAAGTAATTGAACAGTATTGACTGGCATTTTCAAGCCCTTTGATATCTTTTTAAAACCTTTTCCCATCTGTATAAAGTTCCATTGCCTTGTTATGTAGGTCTTTTGACAGTTCTTTTCTGCTCCCCATGACTCAGTATCTAGCCTTCTCAGTGCATCCACGTGAGAGCTAACAAACTCATTGATTATTTATACACAGACACTAATTGCAATTTAAAAAGCCACAGATGTGGGGAATTAACCTTTAAATTGCCATTTTAATGTGTATGTCTATAATAAAGCCAAACATTCAAGGGTATGTAAACTTTTGATCATGGCAATTTGGGTGATTTCTGTTATCATTAAGGAGCCAAACAATTATGTCATAATAAATGGCTTCATATGATCACTATCCTTCAAAAAAATACATTATTTTTGCATGATTAGTCATATTTAAAAAAATCAGTGCCAACACTTCTGCCAGGGTATGCAAACTTTTGAGCACAACTGTATGTGCATACAAAGGGGTATTTAACAGAGGGGAGAAAAAAATATATATGGACTTCGAACAGAAGACCAAATGATGGAACAAATGGAAGGGAGCACAGAAATAGGCTAGGAAGCTATGTGAGACATTTGACAGAAATGTGAAAAGAAAGCACTGGGAGTCTTGTCTTACCTCATTAAATATGTTTGTAAGGGTCTCTGAGATGTCTTTATAATGAACCTCATTTTTTAACAAACAGGAGTTTAAGGCCAGACAGCCACCAGGTTTGAGGACTCGAGCTGCTTCTTGCATGAACTTCTCCACATCAAACCAATGAACTGCAAAACTTGCATTTATTACATCTACCGAGTTGTCTTCTAGAGGCAAATTCTCAGATGAAGATAATCTATAAAAAACAAAGGGCTGGCTAGCAAATGCAAACTATAGAATACATGATCTTAGAGAGTAAGGCACTTTTAGATGTGGATTTACAATAAATGTACAGTAGATGGAGTCTCAATATAATGTAGTAAAAACCTCTTCTTTATTAATTATGCTATTTTAAATTGGTTTAAGGTGCAAGGAGCATCCATATTACTGGGTCTCTATAAAGCTGCTTATATTTTCTTTTGCAAAAGATTAGGCCAACAGCATACATGAGCGTTGTAGCACAGACTGGAAGACAGAAATACACCTGTGAACAGACATGGAAAAACAGGCTCTGAGGAAACAGCCCCCCAAAAAATTGATCGGTATGGCCCCACGACGGGAAGCTCAGATGGCCCATGCGGAGGCTAGCGCCTAAGTTGGGCGGGCTAGGGTGCCTTAAGGGTTCATCTATACTATTATTAGCGTGGGGACTACTTCTGTCCCGGAGGGGGGTATCACCGGCCAGGGGACAGTATTCGGCCTTCACCCTCGCTAACAGGGCGAGTCCAGTGGGGCTATGGGTGCACATCTCCCAATAGCAGTTCCGGGAGTCCAGTGTTGTAAGGTTACTATGTAGAGATGAACACTGTCCTTCGCAAAAAGTTAATGGTTGACCGTGCTGTCGCAGGGGCATGGCGGGGGGCCATGGGGATGCCTAGTAAACACTGACCCACCTGAAAGTGATTGTCAGCGGCCCCCTTCCGGTCTCCCGCTACCCCTAACCGCTACTATAGATCGATCATCCTGGGAACTACTTTATACACTGCGCAACAGGAAGGATGGTTTCAGGTTACCGGCTGGGATTCCCTGTCATGTGTGGAGGGGAGAGAGAGGAGAGACTTTGCGCACGGGATGTCACACTATTCTTGGTCCCCCTTCTGACTGGGAGGGGGCGGTCGGTCCCAGACAAAGCTATCTACGATAAGACTACATCTACTCGATGGAATTGCCCTGAACGGCATAGTAGTGACTAATCTTTGTCAGCCACACCCAACATTGGGGTGGGCGTCCGGGTGGCAGGAAGGGAAGAAGTCCCGGTACAAACGTTGAATGCCCTGACGGGAATCACGGGACAAGGGGGCTCCTGAATAGATAGGCTGGGAGGTGACTTAGCGATTAGTAGAGACAGAACCTCACCGATCCATGGCTGATGCAGTGTTATGGGGTATTTAGCAGTGCTCGCCATAGTTTCACTGACTGAGATATAGAATTTTTCGTCGGCACACTTGTGGTGCCTTTAAGGGTTGGTCTGTGTCCCTGCTGATCTGGAGCTAGTTTGCACGGTCCAGAGAAGCTGGGACATAAACCCCAATTAAACATGGCCATAGGTAAGACCAGGCGATTTATGTATCATAAGTTTTTCTATTTCTTTCCTTCTTTCATTTTCACTTTCCTGTTAATCCCTCTTTCTTTCTTACCTACCCCTTTTGCCTTAACCCTGGGGGGGGGGAACGGAGGAGATCAGACGGCACAGATTGTGCAGGATGATCGAGATGATATAGCGGTGCACAGGATTCATGCCTCACGAGGGATGGGCTTCTGGCGCAGGCCTGGAAACGACAGAATGGAGTACAGCAAAAACCCTTATCAAATGATATGCCTGTAAAACTATTATCTTTAAATATAAAAGGGCATTAACACGCCCCCAAAAAAACGACGCCTTATGTTCAAAGAACTTAAGCGGATGAATCCCGACATTGCATTCCTGCAGGAGACACACATACCGGTGTCAACTAAATTTGCCCTCAGAGATAATTATTATTATTATTTTATTATTTATATAGCGCCAACAAATCAAACTTATAGCATGGCGTACGAATCTAGGGCTCTTAATAAGAGAAATGGCGTGGCTATCCTTATACATAACAGTTGCCCGATCACAATTGGCAAGGTTCATTCGGATCCGGGAGGGCGTTTTGTTTTAATATCAGGAATCCCATGCTATTCACATCCTTAATATTTATGCCCCAAACAATCCGGTCAAAGAGTTCTGGGCAGAATTGACTTGTATGATAAATACGCTACCTCACGGCATGGTTATAGTGGGGGTCGACTTTAATGTGACACCGTGCCCGGCAACCAACAGGGGAACTTGTAGTTGGATCCCACAATCCCATGGGAGGAGCGGACAAGATAAGCAATTACACACCTTTATACAACATACAGGACTAATTGATATCTGGAGATCTCACCATCCTGACGTTGTTTATTACCAGTGAGCTCCCCCCAAATGCCAGCAACTTTCTGGCCATGTGCTTCAATTATATTCCCTCGGGCTGTAACAATCTGTGACAGCCCGAGGGAATGCAGTGCTGGGTATTGTCTGTGGCCAGAGGGAGCACTGACAGGCCCCCCGCACAAGCCCCGCCCCCAAAAGAAGCTCCACCTTCTGCACATAAGCCCCACCCTGCCGTTAAGCAGCAGACCATGCTGCTGCTGGAAAGGATGGAAGATGGCTGTCTGACCCCCAGCAACAGCCCCCAGTGACTGCATGGACTCAGCAGTCTGTGTGTGCGTGCGTGCATGGACTCAGCAGTCTGTGTGTGTGTGCATGCATGGACTCAGCAGTCTGTGTGTGTGTGTGCATGGACTCAGCAGTCTGTGTGTGTGTGTGAGTGCATGGACTCAGCAGTCTGTGTGTGTGTGGACTCAGCAGTGTGAGTGCATGGACTCAGCAGTCTGTGTGTGTGTGGACTCAGCAGCCTCTGTGTGTGCGTGGACTCAGCAGTCTCTGTGTGTAAGTGTATAAATCAGCCTGTGTGCATTCAGGAGTCTGTGTGCATTCAGAAATTTGTGTGTGTATTCAGCAGTCTCTCTGTATTCGTATTCCGTGTACCATGTGTATGTACTCAGCAGTTGATCAATAATTAAAATTTTTATTCCTGTGAGTTGTTGTATAGGAAGGGCCCCAGTGCACTGCTTTGCCAGGGGCCCTTAACACTGTTAAGACGGTACTGCTTGTGTGTGTCAGTGAGCTTCTATTTAGTGAGCATGTGTGTGTCAGTGAGCTTGTCTTTAGTGAGCTTGTGTGTGTCCCTGAACTTCTTTGTAGTGAGTCTTGTATTTATACAAGTGAGTTTGTCTGTATTAAGCTTGTGTGTGAGTCAGAGTTTTTTGTCTGTCAGTGAGCCTATTTGCGCATGTCAGAGAGCTTGTGTGCTCACTGTAAAATATATATATATATATATATATATATATATATATATATTTTGACTTGTAGGAATGGCATACATTTTTTTTCCAGGGCTGCTTTGGATTCCCAGTTTGGCTTTGCCAGTGAGTGCGCTTTACCGCTGAATCATCTGTGTGAGCTGCCGCACACTTTAGCCCTGTTACACGCGTCTGGGAGCTGCTGTTGACAGGTACTAGTAGTCTAGAGATTGGGACATGGGGTATATGCTCAGCTATCTGTATAATACTATAGTGCTGTTCTCTGTATAATACAGATCTGTGTGTGTATAATATCCCGGGATAGTCAGTGCTTCCTGTATACTGCTGCTCTTTGTATAAAACAGGTCTGTGTCTGTATAATATCCTGGAACAGTCAGTGTTCCCTGTATAGTGCTGCTCCCTGTCTTGGGATATTATACACAAACAGACCTGTATTATACAGAGAGCAGCACTATACAGGGAGCACTGACTCTCCCAGGATATTATACACACAGCCATGTATTATACAGAGAGCAGCACTGTACAGGGACCGCTGACTGTCCCAATTTATTATACACACAACCCTGTATTATACAGAGAGCACTAACTGTCAGGGATATTATACACAGACAGTAATTGATAGCTGTGCTGCAAAATATCCTTGGATTTTTTTTTCAAATGTTGGCAACTATGGGACTGTATCAAGGGAAATGTGTTTGTTTTTTAATAATCCCTGGTGGAAAATAATGAATCCTCCACCAGGGATTATTAAAAAAAAAAACAAACAAAAAAACACACATTGTGTCGGGGGCAGGGCTTAACATGCGACAGGGGTGGGGTCAAACTGCGGCGAGGGTGGGGTTAAATGTGCCCTCCTACTTTTGTCCCTGGCCCACCATGTGCCCCCCCTAAAAATGAATCCTAGAGACACCACTGTTGATTACACATTCTATTCACCTCCCCACGACACTATTGGTGGATAGGCCTGTTCTTAGTGAACACTTGACCGTATCTAAAGTTGCTGACTCTGCTGTGGGCTCTATAACGTGGTCTGACCACGCGGACATTACACTAACCTTAGACAAGTTGTGTGTGGCGTCTCCCTGGTCTTGACGACTGAATACCTCTTTGCCTAGGGACTCAGATAGTTACAAAGATTCGGAATGACTTGAAGGAGTACTTTGCTTGTGAAGTGGAGTCTGGCCTGCCAATGGCTATGGTGTGGGCGGCCCACAAGGCAGTGATCAGGGGCACTCTGATATGAGAAGCGACGCTGAATAAAAAGCGCAAAACACAATTATATCGTCCCTCTTAGCCTCCTTGAGGAAAGCGGAATAAAAACATAAGTGGCGGTACAGAATTCGAGGAATTTAGTTTGTGACACTTTATTGGAAGATACAGCAATAGCTATGCTGTGGTCCAAGCGGAACTATGATGAGAAGGCTAACAAAATGGACACACTGTTGGCAAGATCCCTTCAACCAAGACAACGTGGTACACACATTACGACGTATCAGGCAAGTACCAAACAAACCCCACGGATATAGCTGCTGTATTCACAGAATACTACACTAAACTATATAGCCACTCCAGCGTAGATGCACTAGGTACCAAAAGCGAACTAGAGCGGATTCGAGGGTTTCTGAGCCAGATGGATCTTCCTAGGCTGCTTAGGGCAAACTCTGATGTGTTGCAAAAACGGATCTCAGCTGAGGAAGTGGACGCAGCCATTTCGGCGTTAAAAAGTAATAAAGCACTAGGCCCTGATGGCTTTGATGGAAGCTACTATAAGATCCTTTGAGAGGAATTTGTGCCCTACTTGGAATCTTGGTGCAATGACCTCATGGAGGGGGGACACTGGACAGAGACATGTGTAATGGCACCCTGGGTGTAGAAGGGGTTAACGCCGCCAAAGATGTTCCCTTCCCGAATACAAAGTCAGCTACCGAACACTCCTAAGCGCCGAACAGGAAAACACACAAATAATCCCCCCTAAGTACGAGACGAGGTTCTGTATTGAGGGTCAAGCAGGAATCTGTAACATCGATCTTGTCTGGAGACAGGCTGCTAGGGGCACTCAGACCCAGGTACTGTCTCTGGATGCAGAAAAAGCTTTTGACAGGGTTAAATGGATATATCTATTTGAGGTCTTGGAACACCTAGGAATCTTGGCCCGGTTCGTAACTGTTCTCTTTGCCATACTAATGTTAAAGCGCGTATACGGATCTCAGGAGCGATGGTCACCCCGTTTCAACTGAGCAACGGCACCAGACAGGGTTGCCCTCTTTCACCGTTATTGTTTGCCCTCTCTCTGGAACCTCTGCTGCAGAAAATACTGGCCAACCCAGATTTAAAGGAATTATGGTGGGAAGAAAGCGGTACGTATTTTCGGGATTTACGGACCCAAAAGATTTTATGGCAGCGTTAACAAACGTCTTGAAGAATTACAGCGATGTAGCTGGATATAAGGTAAATTTGAATAAATCTAGCGCACTCCCCATAGGCATGACCGATGCGGACGCAGCATATATAGGGGCGACTTACCATATACAAATAGCGAGGGACTACACTAAATATTTAGGTATTAGGCTAACGGCAGATCCCACTCAACTATACCAACAAAACTATACCCCATTGATTCGCACTTTAACAAGTGAAATGGAGAAATGGCTGGAAAAGCAGATTTCATGTTTTGGAATGATACACTCGGTTAAAATGAATGCCCTTCCCAGAATATTGTTCCTTTTTCAGGCCCTCCCGATCCGACTGACTAACTCTAATTTGGGGACACTCCAACAGGCTATAGGCAAGTTCATATGGCAGAACAAGAGAACTAGAGTCTCACGTAATGTACTTTTTAGGGCAAAGAATAGCGGGGGGTTGGGCCTATCGAACCTTTATTATTATTATTATTATTACACGGCAGTGCAACTAGCCCAGATAGCACTATAGCACTCCCTTCCGGAGGAGAGAAGGTGGGTGGACTTGGAGTCCTCCCTCCTGGTGACGGATTTGTCACAGTTCCTGATGTCGATCCCCGAGGAACACAGACAGACTATTCGGGTAGCATGCCCCACTATATTAAACTCCCTTAAGATATGAGATGATGCTGCTATTAAATATGGCTTAGCATCCTCCCCTTCTCTGATGGCCCCATTCAGTGGTGTACATACCAGGGTCGCAGGGGTCGCGACTGCGACTGGGCCCGGCCCACCAGGGGGCCCGGCCGCCCCTGTGACCCGGTATGTACGCCCAGGTCCAGCCTCTTCCCCTGGGGGGCCCATGAGCCGACCACCCCAGGGCCCCCCTGAGGCTGGCCCTGCTGACCCCGGGTGGCCGGTCGGGCAGGCAGGCAGGCAGGCGGGCGCGCGAGGGAGCACTCAGTGCTTCTTCTTCAGCTCCCTCGCGCACCGCAATGATACCGGAGCCGGAAGATGACGTCATCTTCCGGCTCCGGCATCCCTACGCGGCGCGCGAGGGAGCTGAAGAGGAAGCACTGAGTGCTCCCTCGCGCGCCCGCCTGCCTGCCTGCCCGACCGGCCACCCGCCCAGGAGCCCAGCAGACCACTGGACCCCAGGGAATCCCCCCAGCACTCCAAAAGGTAAGGAGGCTGGGGGGATTAAATTAAAAAAAAAATCATGTGTGAGTGTTAGTGTGTGTGAGTGTTAGTGTGTGTGAGTGTTAGTGTGTGTGTGTTAGTGTGTGTGTGTTAGAGTGTGTGTGAGTGTTAGTGTGTGTGAGTGTTAGTGAGTGTTAGAGTGAGTGTTAGTGTGTTTGTTAGTGTGTGTGTGAGTGTTAGAGTGAGTGTTAGTGTGTGTCTGCTAGTGAGTGTTAGTGTGTTAGTGTGTGTGTCTGCTAGTGAGTGTGTTACTGTGTGTGTCTTACTGAGTGTGTGTGTCTTAGTGAGTCTGTTTGATGTCTGTTAGTGAGTTTGTGTTTGTCAATGAGAGTGTATGTTTTGTAAGTGAGTGTGTATGTATGTCTGTCACTGACTGTATCTCTGTCAGTAAATGTGTGTGTCTGTTAGCTAGTGTGTATGCGTCTGTAAGTGTGTGTGTGTGTGTGTGTGTGTCTTCAGCACTTACCTTTCTCCAGCGCCGGACTCCCTTGGCGCTGAGGATCCCTCAGCCTCTCAGCTCCGAATGCGACCGCGCACGCATTCAAACCGCCCATAGGAAAGCATTACTCAATGCTTTCCTATGGACGTTCAGTGTGCTCCTCTAGCGGCTGTCAGTGAGACAGCCACTAGAGGCTGGATTAACCCTCAGTGAAACATAGCAGTTTCTCTGAAACTGCTATGTTTTCAGCTGCAGGGTTAAAACTAGAGGGACCTGACACCCAGACAACTTCATTGAGCTGATGTGATCTGGGTGTCTGTAGTGGTCCTTTAAAGGACCACTATAGTGCCAGGAAAACATACTAGTTTTCCTGGCACTATAGTCCCCTGAGGGTGCCCCCACCCTCAGGGACCCCCACCCGCCCGGCTCTGGAAAGAGGTAAAACTTACCTTTTTCCACCGCTGGGCGGAGAGCTCTCCTCCTCCGATCCTCCTCTTCTCCTCCCCGTCGGCTGTATGCGCACGCGCGGCAAGAGCTGTGCACGCATTCAGCCGGTCACATAGGAAAGCATTCATAATGCTTTCCTATGGACGCTGGCGTGCTCTCACTGTGAAAATCACAGTGAGAAGCACGCAAGCGCCTCTAGCGGCTGTCAATGGGACAGCCACTAGAGGAAATAGGGGAAGGCTTAACCCATTCATAAACACAGCAGTTTCTCTGAAACTGCTATGTTTATGAAAAAATGGGTTAACCCTAGCTCGACCTGGCACCCAGACCACTTCATTAAGCTGAAGTGGTCTGGGTGCCTAGAGTGGTCCTTTAAGTGTGTGTGCATCTGCATGCACTGGCGTACATACCGCGGTCGCAGGGGTCGCAGCCCGGTAACCCCTGCAACCAGGTGCCCACCGCCATGTGTTGCGGCTTTGCCCGCGCGGGGGGGGCTCACGGATCAATTTTCGCACCGGGGCCCCATGGGTCATGTGTACGCCACTGACCCCATTCCTGAGGAAGAGAGAGTCTTCCCCCGGAATGGCAGCACGGGATTTTAGAGGCATTGAGAACGTAGGACTGCAGAGATTGAAACATCTCTTTGAAGGCGGCTCAATGGTGACTTTTGAAGAATTGAAAACTAGGGCCCCATTGAGTTCTTTCGACTATTTTCGATATATGCAGTTAAGGGATTATGCTCAAAATCCACAGGTTAAGAAAGCTGCCCTAACACCACTTACATTCTTTTGAGGGAATGTGCTTTAGACAACAGTTCCTGAGTGGGCTAATCTCAAGTCTCTACACCCAATTGAGCACACATACACAGGAATGGGGACGGATTACATATACAGAGCAGTGGGAGGCAGACCTGGGCGAGGAACTGGAAGGCAATTTGGGAAGCCGCAGCAACGTCCTCTGTGTGTATCTCTCTGCAGAAACAATCATTTAAGACCTTATTTAGATGGTACACTACACTGGTGAAACTATACCGAATGAATAAAACTACAACGGACATGTGTTGGAGAGGATGCAGACAGCAGGGAACTTATATTCACATGTGGTGGGACTGCCCGGAGGCACAAGCTTACTGGAAGAGGATAGCGGAGTTAGTGGGAGACATATTTGAAAAAGAGGGCAAACTAGACCCATGGGTGTTTCTCTTGGCCAGATCTATAGAAGATTGGACAAGAGTGGAACAAAACCTTTTACATAAACTAAACTTAGCTGCAAGGAAGGCACTGGCACAGGTATGGCTGCAAAGGGAGACACCGACAATCCCTGCGGTGATACAAAAAATTAAAGACACTTTCCTTATGGACACTTTTTCCCCTACTCACTCCTCTACACCGTACCCCTTATCTTTTCTATCCACTTATATTTCTATCTTTTGTTCATTATGTACAATTGTGCAGTATAGGATCACTCATGGAACACGAGAGGTAACGAACAAAATGCGATATTACACTCCCCCTGACATTTCTATAGGGGAAGACACCATTGAGTGGAAAATGTCCTATCTCTCAAACCTGTATGGTTGTACACGATTTCATTTTATTTACAATAAAAACCAGGACAAGATGCTGGACGTTGTAAATTTCCGAGATTAGCTTAAAGACATATTGTATTACCTGAACTCATAGGCTATCTATATTGTACTATTCACAGCTATGTTTTAGCTGTCCATATGTATATGAATATTGTCGCTGTGCATATGTTCGTATATGTCTATGTACAGTTTACAAATATTATGGAAATGTTTTATTGTTTCATACGGTCTTGAAATAAATAACTATAAAAAAAAAAAGTGACACTATAGTCACCAAAACAACTTTAGCTTAATAAAGCTGTTTTGGTGTATAGATCATGCCCCTGCAGTCTTACTGCTCAATTCCCTGCCATCTAGGAGTTAAACTCTTGGTTTATGCAACCCTATGCATATTTCCCTACACAGCATTCCTAAACATTTCCTGTAAAGAATCTATTGTTTACGCTTCCTTTATTGCAAATTCTGTTTAATTTAACCTCCTAACACAGGGGTTCTCAACCTGGTCCTCAAGGACCCCCTAGCAGTTCAGGATTTAGGGATTACCTGGGTGTGTCTAAGGTGTTTAGAAAAAAAACAAAAACAAAAAAAACCTCATAGTCTAAGCGAATCACTAATTACTGTTTCACTGTTGAGGATTCAACAGGGAAAGTCCTTGTAAGGACTAGAGCTCCCAGTTCTGAGTGTTGTCCAGTGCCTGGGGGTTGCTAGAGTGAGTTTCACATTTGGCTCCAGGAGGGAGCGGTTCCCGGACCCCAGTCAAGTCACGGCGACGGGGGGCAGGAAGGCTGAGGTTTGTCCCCTGTTCCAGCTAGAAAGTGGTCCTTGGTGGTGGTACAGGGAGCTCAGTTACACCCCTGAATGTAATTAAAGTTCAATTTACAGAACAGGAGATTAAAACTTTAAAGTAAGTTACATCTAGATGAAAATGAAGCCATTTTGGTTTTATGCTGGCTTTGTCATTCACAAGGAAGGTATAGCTAGGGTTGAATAGAAAGAAACAAACGTGATTTAACTCATAAATAGCAGAAAATTGAGCAGTGACACTTCAGAGGCATGGTCTATACACAAAGACTGCTTCATTAAACCACTGTTGTTTTGGTGACTATCATGTCCATTTTAAAACTATAGATGTCCAAACCACTTCAGCTCATTGAAGTGGTCTGGGTGCATTGTAGAATATTGCATATTCTATGTTTCTATTGATTATATATATGGATGTGTGGATTGACATAAGTAACAGATGGTATCAATAAGTCACAAGGCTTTCTTTGTCCGAGAGCTCTGGAATGTGGATGTGGAGGGTTTTGTCCTTATATGGCTAGAGTTATATGCTGATGTTAGTATTAGCACTTCTATATAGTAACAGAGGGACACGAGGTCTCTCAGTCTAGTCTCGGTCTTGGCTTGGCTCTGTACAACGATGTAACTCTCCTATCAGAAGTCCAGCAATTACCATCTGCTGTTGAATGTCCATTATCCTGTAACATCATTTGTTGTTTTATGTATCCGTAACTAAGAATAAACCTGAAGAAACCGTAAGTCAGATTGCGTATTACTACTTTTCAATAATATAGACATATATTATTGTGGCGAGCATTTGGCCCAAGAATATATATACAAAAGACGTATATATATCAATCAACTGAAGACAAGAAGAAATTAAGAAAGAGTCTACATTAACATCCATTCATCTAGTTTTTTACATTGGCTAGCCAGCCAGTCTTCTATTCAAAGTTTTGTTCCCACTTCAAGGGGGGAGAGAGAAGAATCGAGTTACAAAGCTATTTTGGAACTGGGAAAACAAACTTGAAGAGAAAAAAAAGAATCTAGACTGTGTTTGTAAGAAAAAGAAAGTTTTCAAATCAAAGACTGTACAAGACTATTTTCTACAACTGAGACAAAAAGCACAAGATACAACGTGAAATCTAGAAGCAAGCACGTGGCAGACATTGGCAAATTTCCAGATCCAAGCAAAGAACTGCGCAGCTGTGTGGATGAAGCAACGAAATAGACAGAAATAACTGATCTGGTGAGTAACATGGAATTCATAAATGATATTGCAGAGAAAAGTAAATTGCAGTTTGCATGTAATAGCAGCTATTCAGATGCTGTATTGTGGCAATCTTTATACACACAATGTGAAATTGCCAATAGTGAAATTGACAAGAAATTGTTTGTTAATAAGAAAAAACAAAAGATCAGAAATGTTATGAAACTAGTCTGTACTTACAATGCATTGATTTGTAAACGAAATACAGGTAAAGACAATTTAGAATTAGCAGAAAAAGAAGTAGATTTGAATGGGTTAACAGAAGACAAATCAGATTTAAATGAACAGTGTAACAATGTAACAGAGAGAACATTGTCAGAAACAGTCTGTGAATTAGAGGATAGAGTTGAACTAAGAAATGATCTTATTTGCCAGCTTGGAAATGAAGTTAAACTAGTGTGTGTTAATACAAGAAAAATAAAGGCACAGAATCTAATCCCAGAACCAATAGATACTGAAAATGTATCCTCACAGAGTGATTTGCAGAAATGTAAATTCCAAGACAGAACTGCAAAACTTAATTTGAAAATACATGAACAATTAATGAAAATTGTGAAATGTATTCCAGTTTATGACACGTCAGTGGATGCATTTACTAATGCTGAAATGTTTGAGTCTAATTTAGACAAATATAGCCTAAATGACGAACAAAGGAATAGACTATTTCAAATATGGCTGCCGACTCAAATTGCACGTAGACTGACTCCACCCATTAGTACCCCTAATGACGAAGATGGTGAAATAGTCCATGGGAATAAGCAAGACAGATTAACACAATTAATAAAATTAACAACAGGGAATGATTTTGCAGACACTGAAATGTTGGAAAAACTAAAACCACACAAGGGGGAGGATATATTTAGTTTTCTTGTAAAATTTGAAAGTGCATATAGACTTGTTGCTAATTTTCCTGAGAATCAGTTAATTAATGAATTTGTGAAGAAATTTCAAGATCTAGATCCAACTGCAATTGTAATTGCTAGAGAAAAAAGGACTTTGAATGAAGTTGCTATGTTCTTGGATAACTTAAGGAGGGAAACCAATAATGAAGGGGTTAAAATGACTTGTGGATTTAGGCAGAGAAAGAAGTGCAGATGTTACAGCCCCCGTCCCCCTCCTTCTTCTTCTTCTAGGACAGAGTGTAGAGTGATACAGACAACTGAGCCCCTCCCAATTTATTCAACTAAAAACTGTAGAGTTGATAATATAGGGCAAAATATAACTCCTAAAGTTATTTGTTTTTGGTGCAATAAACAACATTATTTAAGATCTTGCAGATATTTTATCCGAGATATCAAATCAAAAGCAAATGAGAAATTAAATGTGTTGATTGAAAATTTTGACAGAGAAAATACATGTGGAGATAAATCAATAAAAGCCTTTCCTTGTAAACTGATATTCAGACAAATAAAAGCAATTTTAGCTAAATCGAAATTAGGAGACAGACAAGCAATGCAGTGTAACACAGAAAGTTATAAGAATCAGATAACTTCACGAGACATGATCAGTTTAGGGAATGAGCATGGATATGTGTGCCAACAGATGTACACAGGCTGATTCCAGAATTAAGAACAGCACAAGAATAGAGATCTATGTTAGTTTGTTTTAATGAATTGTTAGTCTGTACTGTTTTTTCATTGTTTTATGTGTGTTATAAGAAAGTATTAGGTTAATAATTGAAATAAAAATTTACATCAAGTTTGCAAATATGACAGAATGAAATACACTAATGTAGCAGTTAGGAACATGCAATGTTATATTGGGTGTGTGTGATTATACAGTAACTCCAATCATTTTACAGAAGAAAAAACAATGGATTTATTCTTTGTTGCTTCTGAGGTTGATTTAAAATCTTTGATTTAATTCATGAGAATGAGATTTTAATGTCATGACTGATAATGGATTACTATATTTTGCAAAGCCTGGACATACATATATTTTGACTACATAGAAGACACAAGTTTTGATAGAATAAAACCTAGATTTACAAATACATTTGATGAAGGAAACAATATATGTTTTTGTAGTTTGTTTCATGTGACAAAATGGTGCCAGTGTTAAGACAAAATGGCTACTATAGCTAAAGTATAGTGGAAAACAATATTTTGTTGTAACATCTGATATGTGATTAGGTTATACCTCCAGATTATTAAACAGTTTAAAAGGGGGGTATGATTAATAAGGTATGAGTAATAAAAAGTTTGGAAAATTAAAATGTTCAGAAAGATTATACATCACATGGCATAAATGTAATGACCACTAGATGGTAGATCTCATGAGAAGAAATTAGTATGTTTTGTGTAGTCAATATAATTCAATGTTAAACTGTGTAATAATAATGAGATATAAACATTGTAAGCCATTGTATTGATGCTGCACATGTTATTTGTTTTAATGTAGGTAAAGCGTGACAGATCCTTGTGGCAATAAATCAGGAAAGAATTCCTTCAGATAACTGGACATCGACTGTAGGAAAGAGACTTTTCATCTGATCTGCAAACTGTGATGGAAGATTCTACAGAGTTCATTCGATACAGAAGATTAACAGACTTACAAAGAAATAAAATATTGACACTAACATACATATAAATTCCTAAATATTAATGAAGAAAACAGACAATGAAAAGTTATTTAACAGTTATGACTATTAATACCAAAAGAGAGTACTTATAGTTATATAACACATGGAGTACAATTATGAAAAGAACTATTATATTATTACCTATACATAGGATGAGAAGTATCAGAGGTAGATAAAATATGAAGTTGATAAAATAAGGATCATGGTTACTTAATACCACAAAGATTGAGTTCAATAGTATTTCATAGATTAACTATAATGAGTAATTTGTTTATATCGAGGTGAAGTAAAACAAACAATGGTAACATAAGGAAGAAAACTAAGGAAGGATAATTTATATTGATTAATATTAAGTAATTATATACATTAAGAAAGCCTTGGATATAAGAGTTCAAAGATCCAAGAGGAATTGAATTGAATGGAAAGAGTATAGTACACAATTATATTTGACCTAAGTCTATAAAGGTATGGACTAGGGAGAATAGGTTTCTGGATATGACGGTATCCAATGAATACGTTGTTATAAGTTGTTTTATGATTACCCTGAGTTTGTTAGACACAGACTAGGAATAAGAGTTTCTTGGCAGTATGACCCCAAGTTTATTTTATTTTAGTCAGTTGAAGTGTACAAAGGAATACGGATTGATCAGAACATTAGGACAATCCTGCTTTTAAGATGTATTACATTAATAAGTCATCACAATGCTAATGAAGAGAGTGATGCTAATGAATTTAAATTATTCTTTCCAAGTTCTTTTAGAGTAAACTATGTTTCTATTGAATTTAAAGTTTGTTACTACAAGGTGGAATTTTAGTCAAAATTATAATTATGTGAACAAAAAGAAATCTATGATAGAAAGATTTCTGGGTGAAGAATTTCTAGGACAATAAGTATTGTCAACACCATGAACATTATTTGAAGAATTATTATAGAACTTCATGGTTGATAACACATCCTTTGAATGAGTCTTATAAGTAGTGTTGATATATTTCAGGTAGTGAGAGCCTACTGAATATTCAAATTAAATACTATGATTGTAAAGTACTGATACAATCATCACTAGGTGGTATTAATGGTATAGAAATGTAATTCATGAATACAAATGACCTAAAGATTTTGAGGTTGCTAGAAACCATTTGATTCATGGAAATATAATTGGATGTATATTATAGTAATACATGTATTAGTACTTAAGTAATATCAGGTATTGAGAATGAAAATACTTTGTTATATGTGTCTTTATTAGGAATATGATAGTGATACACAGTTATTATCTAGAAAGTTACGATCTTGATTTTGTTGTCTACAAAGACATGACTGTACCTGAGCAGGTAGATCTTTCTGATTGCTTTACGTTGTTTATTGGATCAACATTTGTAAATATTTTATTCATTTATTATTGTTATATATGTATATATTATGTTCAAGTAGTTATGATGTAACATGGATATGGATATCAATACATAGCTGAAACAAAGGGAGTTTTGAAGTAAAGTAAGCAGTATGAGGGATAGAAACTTGACCTTCTAAGAACTCTCATATAATAGAAAATTGTGACTACATCTTGTTCTATGCTCAATGAATGTGATATGAGTGATATATGAATGGACAGGTTAATTACATTATGTTATGGTTTTAAAACAAACCATAAACAGAGGGAATGTAGAATATTGCATATTCTATGTTTCTATTGATTATATATATGGATGTGTGGATTGACATAAGTAACAGATGGTATCAATAAGTCACAAGGCTTTCTTTGTCCGAGAGCTCTGGAATGTGGATGTGGAGGGTTTTGTCCTTATATGGCTAGAGTTATATGCTGATGTTAGTATTAGCACTTCTATATAGTAACAGAGGGACACGAGGTCTCTCAGTCTAGTCTCGGTCTTGTCTTGGCTCTGTACAACGATGTAACTCTCCTATCAGAAGTCCAGCAATTACCATCTGCTGTTGAATGTCCATTATCCTGTAACATCATTTGTTGTTTTATGTATCCGTAACTAAGAATAAACCTGAAGAAACCGTAAGTCAGATTGCGTATTACTACTTTTCAATAATATAGACATATATTATTGTGGCGAGCATTTGGCCCAAGAATATATATACAAAAGACGTATATATATCAATCAACTGAAGACAAGAAGAAATTAAGAAAGAGTCTACATTAACATCCATTCATCTAGTTTTTTACATGCATAGTCTTAAGTCCCTTAACCCTGCAAAGGTAATTATTGCACGTTTTAAGAAACTGTATACTTAACTCAACCTCTTGTGGCCGTCTACCAGACAGCCACTAGATGGACTTCCGGGTCATAAGGGGACTTTTGGCGCTGGACGCTGAATGTCCTCACACTATGTATGAGGACATTCAGTGTCACCCGAATCCCATGGGAATGCATTGTATAATGCTTTACTAAGGGGGGAAAGTACTAATGCTAGTGTGGAGGTGGAGCCTGAGCCAGTGCTGAGGGACATCAGACAGAATGGGTTTTTAAACCCTTCTGAACCATGGGTGGGTGGGAGGGAGGATTGAGATAAGGGGCACTATATGAAGCTATAGCGCCAGGAAAACAGCTTTGTAGTTCATAGTTTTATAGTTTCCCTTTGCGGTTATCTTAAATTAGATCCCAATCCCTCACTCAATATGATTTTAGAAATCTATTATTCCCAGACAACCACATATAATGGGCTAATCTTCATTTTTAGGGCAGGCATCTAGTAAAAGCCTGTGGCACTTTGCCACGTTGATGAAATATAAAACTGATGTACAATCTTGAGCTGCATCTCATGAAAATTACTTACTGACAGTAATTTGTTTAGCGTGAGAGAAGCTCTGCACCCCTCTCCCTTTATTACTATTATAAAAATTAATATATATATATATATATATATATATATATTTTTTTTTAATATAATTTCCTTTAATTCTCTATCATGATACATTAAAAGAGTAGGATAAATTCTGTGCTGAAGTATCCATTTAAATATGCATGCGTTTAAGACATTATCAGTACGCTATATATGATGAGAAACACCTAAACCATGTTACTTTGCAAGGCAGATAAAAAAATTTCAAATGTATTTTAAAGGGACCCTATAGTCACCAAAACAATTTTAGTTTAATAAAGCAGTTTTTGTGTATAGATCATGCCTCTGCAGTCCCGCTGCTCAATTCTCTACCATTTAGTAGTACTAAAATCACATGGTTTCTGTTGATGAAGCCAGAGTTACACCTCCCCTGGTCAGGCCCGAATTAGGAGCCCATTGGGCCTGATGCTGACAATTATGATGGGCCTAATTACAGAATCTTATTGACAGTAAACACTAACCCAGAATCTGTGTTCTGCATCTGGTGGAGGTGGTGCTGGAGGGAAACTCACAGAATATAGCTATCATAAAACACATACCCTATGCTAATCTCTTGCTTTCATCGGTGGACGGGGGTAAAACGGTGGGACACTGACAGGAATCATGTAATCAAAACTGCCCAATGGGACAAACATGCCCAAAAAGGGGTCGTATCTGCACAAATAATTCAATGGTCATCCTGGCGTGACTGCACGTCAAGCAGCCTGCCAATCATGCAGGATGACCAACCAATAGCTTACAGTGCAGACAGCACCCTGAGCTTGGCATAAATACATCTAATTATGCACTAGCTCTACGCATTCTAAAGACTGTCCCATAGCACTCGCTGGTCCACTCTTCTCCTAACCTTCTTACTAGCAGGCAGAAGCTCCGGTTATATAGTCTGGGACAGAGAAAAAAGTGTATGTAGTGATTGTAGAAGAAAGGGAACATGCCACAGTGTTAGTGAGACCGAAGCATCAACAGCATTTGCATAGTGTGCAAAGTCAGCTTTACCTTAACTAATTTAATTGTCAGCCAGTTCACACCAGTTTTGTTCTTCTACGTCGCTCTTAATTTTCCATACTTATGCAAGAGCATGTGAAGAGTAGTAAAAAAAAAAAAAAAAAATAATTTAGAATTTTTTTTAAATCAATGGGCCTGGAGCTACACAGCCTCGAGAGACAGCGTGCAGGAAAACAAAATCCGATGTAACTTACTTTAAAAGTTTGTTTCTCCTGCCCTATAAATTGAAGTGTAATCACATATAGGAGGATCATGCAGAATCTAGCCAGCTATTAACAGAGCAAGAAAAAAATTAATTCTAAATTAAACATAATTTTCCATAAAGGAAATATAAACATTAGATTACTCTTTACAGGAAGTGTTTATGAAGGCTGTGCAAGTCACATGTAGGGAGGTGTAACTAGGGCTGTGTAAAAAAGGTGATTTAACTCCTAAATGGCAAAGTATTGAGCAATGAGACTGCAAGGGCATGATCTATATACCAGAACGGTTTCATGAAACTAAAATTGATTTGGTGACTATAGTATCCCTTTAAATATAGTGTTTCCTGGTGGCCATCTACTTACAGAAAGTTTTTTTTTTTTTTTGTAAATAAACACACACAAAGCCTATTATAACTAAATCAAAAGCATACCTACATATAAGTAGTATTCTTCTCAGAAGTGCATGATCGGGCTACATTTAACTGACTCTCACTAGAGTCTGCTCCAATCACTTCCTGGAAATGAGCAGCAAGTTTCCGAGTGGAATTTCCTGTCCCGCAGCCAACGTCCACTGCTAATTTAAATGGCTTTCCCATCTGCAAAGAAAATAAGAAAGAAAAAAAAATCATCATCCTGTAAGTGATGACAGCTAACATGAAGATTTTTACAAAAATTTAAGGTCTTAAGGAGGTATTAAACTAGAGGCAAGTTTTCAGAAATAAAGTAAATATTTCCATTGCATTACAATATAAAATTTCTATGGGAGTTAGTTGGTCTGTATGGGAATCTGTGTTTGCTTGAGGCCCAGATGAAGTAGTGAGAGCTATAATGTGAGCACTCTGTGGGCACCATCTTGGACGGCACTTGCCTTTGCAGCAAGGTCCTAAAGTACCTCTGTTTGGCTGGGCTTTGGCAAGTGGCGCCCCATCGCCAGTGTGTGGTTAGTCAGGAGAGTGTGAGGCCCTGTCAGGCCCTCTGTACTCTCCAGTATCATCAAGGAGTGACTCCAGGCTGACTCAGGCAAACGCAAGATAAGTCCAGGATCTGCTCCTCTTTGTGGGCATGAAAAAAAATGGCATCAGCTGATTCAGCGAGCCCTCCCCTTGATCCACTGTGGTTATAAGTGGAGGTGGATGAATAGAGTGAGTGGCGATGTTAGTGCAGCCTGCACGGAGCTGCCAGTAATGGAGTTGAGTTGGCTTACTGGCAAGCTCCGCTCCCCCCATAGTACAACATTTCAATACATATTGTAAAAGATCATTTAATGCAGCTCTGTCACTTTCAGTATTTTATAAAGATATACTCCATTAAAATTCCAAAGTTATCCAAAGTTACCATAAGACAAAGTAGGGTCTACATTTTTCTTATGGTAAAGCCCGAGATTAACAAATATTGAAATAAAGAAAAATAAGGAAATGAGGGAAAAATATTCCTCTACACAGAGAGGAAGCCAATCCCATCAAAACCAGTAACCCCTTCAGAACAATACATATAAAAGCTTTCCGAAAACTGTATCTCAGACACAGCTCAAAAAAAATAAAGTTTTATTAATAGTAAATAAGCGTTACAAATACAAAAAGGTGTCTATGTACATACTCCAGACTGCTTGGCCTGTAGCTATATATGGATAAATACTAAAGGATACAGAGCTACTATGCTCAGAGAACTCGCAACATAGTTACAATAAATGCAACTGAATACCTAAATGTGTAACTCAATCTAGTAAAAAGTGTTGTGTTAAGAAATGTTGCAACATAAATAGCATAGCAGCAGTGGATCTAACCAATATCCAGAAATCACAGCATAATAAGAGTCAGCTGTTATGATAAACCCAAATTAGTCTAAATATAGTGAGGTCAAAATCATATATATGGGAAAACAATATTCCCTCTATAATTACTTACTGTAACCAAAGGGGTCCAATGGAGCTAACAAATACTCTACTTGCTAATACCCAATCAAAGCTCTAAAAGATAAGTAAATCGAAAGGACAGAAAGATACAGATAACTGAAAATAAAGTAATAAGTAGTATAGAAAGATCTGTATTACTCACAACTAAATGTGGCTATATAAAGAAGAAGACTCAGCCAGCAAAAGAATCCTTAAATTAAAGGACCACTATATGCACCCAGACCACTTCAGCTCAGTGAAGTGGTCTGGGTGCCAGGTCCCTCTAGGATTAACCCTGCCTGCTGTAAACATAGCAGTTTCAGAGAAACTGCTATGTTTATAATAGGGTTAATCAAGCCTCTAGTGGCTTTCTCATTGACAGCCGCCAGAGGTGCTTCCACGCTTCTCACTGTGATTTTCACAGTTAGAAGATGCCAGCGTCCATAGGAAAGCATTGAGAATGCTTTCCTATGGACTGGCTGAATGCGCGCGGGTCCTGCCGCGCATGCAGCCAATGACATCGCTATGGAGGAGGAGAGGAGGAGGAGAGTCCCCCGCCCGGCGCTGGAGAAAGAGGTAAGTTTAACCCCTTCCTCCCCCTTCAGCACCACAGGAGTGGGACCCTGAGGGTGGGGGCACCCTCAGGGCACTATAGTGGTCCTTTAATATAGCATGTTATAGCATAACAGGCTAATACTAAAGCAGTCTGCAGAAGTGATAAAAAACCCACTGCTGTGGGTTTTTTTATCACTTCTGCAGACTGCTTTAGTATTAGCCTGTTATGCTATAACTTGCTATATCAATTTAGGGACTCTTTTGCCGGCTGAGTCTTCTTTATATAGCCACATTTAGTTGTGAGTAATACAGATCTTTCTATACTACTTCTTACTTTATTTTCAGTTATCTGTATATTTCTGTCCTTTCGATTTACTTATCTTTTAGAGCTTTGATTGGGTATTAGCAATTAGAGTATTTGTTAGCTCCATTGGATCCCTTAGAACTTTGGTTACAGTAAGTAATTATAGAGGGAATATTGTTTTCCCATATATATGATTTTGACCTCACTATATTTAGACTAATTTGGGTTTATCATAACAGCTGACTCTTATTATGCTGTGATTTCTGGATATTGGTTAGATCCACTACTGCTATGCTATTTATGTTGCAATATTTCTTAACACAACACTTTTTACTAGATTGAGTTACACATTTAGGTATTCAGTTGCATTTATTGTAACTATGTTGCGAGTTCTCTGAGCATAGTAGCTCTGTATCCTTAGTATTTATCCATATATAGCTACAGGCCAAGCAGTCTGGAGTATGTACATAGACACCTTTTTGTATTTGTAACGCTTATTTACGATTAATAAAACTTTATTATTTTTTTGAGCTGTGTCGGAGATACAGTTTTATGCAAGCTTTTATATGTATTGTTCTGAAGGGAGTACTGTCAACCTTTGTCCAATCCCTTCCGCCATCACAAATAATGCCCGTGGGATTCGAGCATGGTCTCACACATTGTGAGATGTAATCTACATAGGCTCTTTTGGGATCATCCATAGTTTTGTACTCATGCATACCACTGACACAGCTCCTGCCAAATGAAGTGTATACATATTGCACATTTGTGTAATGGATGTAGTGTTTGTGTGTTTTAGATACAGTGTGTGTTTGTGTAGTGGATGTAGTGTTTGTATAGTGAATGCAGAGTGTGTTTGTGTAATGGATGTAGTGTATGTATGGTGAATGCAGACTGTGTGTTTGCATTGTGGTTTTCACAATTGATTTAGTCAGAACCAAATTTCCTCTAGTGACTCATTCATTTTCAAAATTTCAGACATTTTCATTCCGGAGAACAAATTTGGTCATTATTTTGGTTCGAAATAGATATCCTCCTAAATCCTACAAGTATTAGGAAGCTATCTACTAAAAAAAAGCTGAAATACCAAAATGTATCTGTCAGCCAACTTTACTAATACTAATTTAAAAATACTTAGTGTGGCAAACTTCGCCACTTGTAGCATGCTGGACTATATATATATATATATATATATATATAAAAAAAGTTGTCTGTAATGGCCGCAGTACTGTATGTGTAACCGTGTTTGATAGTGTTATGTACATGGAATTCGTATGCTAGCAGCCGAAAGCCGCTAACATTCATGTGTTTCGGTTCACAAACAGCGACTTTACTGGCTGTTCGTGAACCGAATGAGCTAACCCTAATAGCCCACACATAGAGGGACGTGTGGCGCTTATTAACCGATTGCAACAATGTTGCAATCGGTAATTAGAGACTTTCCTAGGTGGCCATCGTTCGGTGTTCGGTCCGTTTAGGCGAACTCAATGGCAAAGTGTATTTCGTGCGGCGTTCAGTTGTTTTAGCTGGGATCTGGGCGGTATTCCCACGAAATGTGCGCTCAGACCCCAGCTATCTACCGAACGTCCATTCGTTTAAATAAACCGAACAGTGTAAAAGTTATGTATTTAAATGTGAAAAGCCGGTTCTGCTGCACGGAGGGATAATCCACTTAAAGGTGTGTTCCAGTGGGAGTATCCCTCTCGTGCAGCAGTGCCTGATGGGAGAAATGCCCAGAATGTTAAGTGCCCCGTGTAGTCCTCTACTGTGTTACCCCTGCTATGTCAGTAGGGAAACCCCTTGCATGGGGACTTGCATAAATACTGGATGCTGTGAGTAAAAATCTCAGTTGACTCCCAGAACTGTGTCTCGTCCGGTTACTGGGGGATTTGGGATATTGCCTTACTTTTCAGCGCTGACTGTGGATTACCTTCTTTACCAGTGGAGATCGTGGGATTTAATATTGCCGCTCCGCTACACTTAGTATTAGTAAATAAGGGAGATTATCTCCCTTCTGCCCCTATTCACTATGCCGCAAGAAGGGGCATGAAAAGAACAACCCCCCCCCCAAATTCAATAAAGGGGTACCTGACACAGGTCCCTCATGGTGTGGCATAAACTTTAATAATTAATAAGGGTAGAACATAGGGTCCCCCTCTAACCCACACAATGGAGGACCTACTGTCCCCAACCAGCCTCCACCCATTGTCTGCAGGTGGTGGCCAAGTAATAATTGGAGGGAACCTTTTGTTTCCCCACCAGCCCCCATACATTGTCGCAGGTGGGGTCCCCAAGTAATAAAGGGGGTGACCTACTGTTCCCCCCCCCCAAGCCACCACCCATTGGCATTTGCTAACAAACTTCTCACCCAATGACAAGGGGTCCCCAAGCCCAAAGTCACCCCCACAACAAATAAATGTCCTACCTACCCCCCTTTACCTGAATAATAATAATAATAATAATAATAATAATTATTATTATTATTATTAATAAGGGAGGGCAATAAACAAACCTTTTTTTGGTCAATTTTCTTTTTTTAGCTCCAAAAAAAAGGTGAAATAAAAATCCTTAAACTAATCCGAACTAATAAAATTATAATGAAAAAAATAAAATAAAAAAAGACCTGAATGCAAAAAAAGCAAAAACAAAAAAAAACCATGCTGGAAATTTTTACTTTAAAAAAAAAAATCAAAAAAAAATCCAGACAATAAAAAAAATGAGGGCTATGAGCAGACTGACCTGCAGGGCGGGGAAAGGCCAATAAATCCTTCCTAGGCAATTTGACTCAGATCAATCTGATTGGTGGGCTTAAGTTATCCAATCAGAGTGCTCTGACAGGGAAGTCTTGATTTTTAAAATTCTTTATTTCCAGCTTTTTTTTTTATTTTTACGTTCGGGTCTTTTAAAAAATTTTTATTAGTTTGACGGAGTTTATGGATTTTTATTTGAACTTTTTTGGCTGAAAAAAGATTGAAGAAAAAAACAATAACAATGGAAAGTATTAATGTTTTATTTTACATGTATTATTCCCCTCACTATTATTAGGGTATTTTTTTTTTTTGTGGTGTGACTAGGGACCCCTAGTCACTGGATGGGGTTGTAGTTTTCTTTTACAAAAATAAAACAAACAAAATAAAGCAGCTGAAACTTACCTTTTATCCAGCACTGACACAGCTGACACCAGTGGCGTACACACAATCCATCAATCCATGGGGCCCCGGTGCGAAACTGATCCATGGGCCCCCCTACCGACACACATACAAACACATACACACAGACACCCCCCGCCAGACACGTACATACACAGAGACACAGACACACACACAAAATGTTTCCTACCTTGTGTGACTTTCCCTGGGGGGTGGCTCAGCCTGATGGGAGTCAGAGTTCCCACTCTGACTCCCTCCTCCTTTGTGTTTCCTCCCGCGCGGGCTCTCTGTATGCTGGGAGGAGTGACTGGGGAGTCACTTCCTCCCAGCAGTGATGTAATCACAGGGGGCCCGGTCGCGCTGTTAAAGTGCCCAGCGCAGACCAGGCCCCCTGACAATCCATATCCACCCATGCTGTCAGGGCCACCCGATGGACCCCTTAACATACGTTCCGGGAGTTTTGTCGCACGGGCCGGGGACCGCAAAACGTGGAAGGTGTTACCTGGTCACAGGGGTCCGCAGGGCGGCTGGGTCCGGTCGCAGCTGCGACCGCAGTACGTACGCTACTGGCTGACACACAGCAGCCTATCTTCTGTGAGTTACTGAACTCGGCTCAATCTGCAAAATCTACCCAAGATATAACTCATTTAAGACCTATACTAAGTGTATGTTTACATTCACTTACCTTATGTTCCACATAGGTTAAAATCAGATCTACCACCTTTGAGGACACAGGGGTCATATATTTGTGATATACTTCGGACACGTCCTGGTTTTTGAACAATTCAGCAGCCATCTAAAAAAGTTAGACATTTTTTTTATTTTTATTATTCTCTCTCTCTCAATAAATCCTGAAGAAAGTCCCAGATGAGGACTGACTGAAAATGTCAATTTCTTTTTACTTATGCTGAAATTCATTTTTGAATTTTTTACTGCAAGACCGTGAATGCAGCCATTTATGCATATTAGATTTAAGTACGGTGTAAATAACAGAGATCTTCACCTATAAGTGGAGCACTCAAACACATATATAGCTTACCAAACGTTATTTCGTATCATGGTACTGTAGAAAGTATATGTGAAAAAAACATTTTTCACATGTACTTTCTACTGTACCATGATACGAAATAACGTTTGGTAAGCTATATATGTGTTTGAGCGCTCCACTTATAGGTGTAGATCTGCCCAAAACCAGTTCCACAGAGTCTTCTATCCTGGAGATAATTGGGAAGTAATCCAATTATCTCCAAGGACAGAGGCAAAACTCCATTGAACACATGGCAGCAAAAGACAATAAAACACATAAAAATATATAACTGTGCAGCCATTGCACAAAACAGGTACTTAAATCTATTATTTTATCTAGTGGGATAGAGGATATTTCCACACAAGTGAAATAGAGCTGTCTATAAATCACCTTCATTTTGTAAGCACTTTGTTACACACATCTCTCCGTAAAAAGAGGTGAACTTTGATTGGTATTCATTTATGCATATTGTTGGATACAGGGACGGACTGACAACCATTTGGGCCCCCGGGCAAAATTAGGTCCTGGGCCCTTTGAAAGCTAATATATAGGTATTTGATTAATTTTTAAATATAACTTTCATATAATGTTGTGTATTACTTTTGATGCATATGATTATCAATGCATGTTTGCATTTAGCATTTAAAATCATTGTGAATGGTCGTTTCTGTTTATTGTGCCAGTATGAATGCATGTGTGTTTGTAGAATATCAATAGGTGTGAATTCAAGGATAGATTTGAGTTTAGTGAAAAACTGTGTGTAAATGGAGGGATGAATTATGTCTACTGCAAGAATATTTATGTAGTCTCAAAGTACAATTGTATGAGTCAAAGTATGTATTTGTATAATGCTGATGTATGTGAAACCCAGAGAATATTTTGTATAGTGCCGGAGTGTCATATTTTGTATTTTGTATAGTGCCGGAGAGTATAAAATGCAGGAGCATGTATTTGAATGCTGCAAACAGCCGAATAGGAAAAACCATACGAAAGGGTTACACTCCTAGCAGTCGAACTGGAACAGCATACAATAAATCCCCCCAAGAACGAGATAAAGCTCCGTGTTGAGGGTCAAGCAGGAACAGACAGAGCTGTGGGTTTATTGTTCTTATATACACACATTAGTACCACCCACAGGGTTTTGGAAACCAACCAATAAACACATACAATACACTCAGACACTCCCACACAAAATCCTCCCCTCTGCCTGTGATACAATTACCTTACACAATGGGTAATGTAATTATCACCAGCAGAGAAATACAGTTTTTCCACATTATTCATAACTTTAAAAGTATGCATCACATTCACATAAACATTTTCAGAATCAGCATACTCCAAATACAAACATACGTCAAAATCATACAAATGGTCCAGTGGTTCAAAAGATAGATCGTAGTCCTTTGTGACCAAATGAAGCATGGCTTTTCTGCCAAAAACCAGTTCCACAGAGTCTTCTATCCTGGAGATAATTGGGAAGTAATCCAATTATCTCCAAGGACAGAGGCAAAACTCCATTGAACACATGGCAGCAAAAGACAATAAAACACATAAAAATATATAACTGTGCAGCCATTGCACAAAACAGGTACATTAAACATATCCTCAGATAGCTCAGATCTGAGCGCACATTATTACTGAATGGCACTCAGAGCACACACATACAGTTCAATTGCCATGGAGCCAAAGTCTTTCCCATAGTCTTTCATTATACGAATGGGCTCCATGTCATAGCTATCTGGGGTATCACTGCTCAAACAGGGCCAGCACCGAATGACCCGGCTTTCGTGTCTTCACAGGGGAAAATCAAGTGTTTCAACATGGGGCCATAGTCTAAAGGCAGCAAGCGGGCAACCAGGCTCCTTAATGCACAGTGGCGAGATTGGTCTCATCACATCTCTCCCCTTTTCCAAACAGACTAACAGGGTATCTGACCTCCTGCCGGTCAGTGCCCTTGTTAGTCCAGCAGCCCACCCACAAAACACAATCAGTAATACAGCCCACCCACAATAACTGGTTACTACACCTGGGTAGAGGAGAACTTTGTCCATGTCCAGGTGCCTCACCATGGCTGTGTGGGTGTCTGGTAAGCTGCCTTGGTGGGTTGCTGAGTGGGCAGAGACCAGCGGGCTCCCAATTCCCTGCTGTATCTCCCGCTGGGGAATGGAGACTAGGCTCCCAATTCCCAATAACTCATACTGCCGCTGGGGAATGGAGACTGTGCTCCCAATTCCCTGCAATTCATTCTGCTGCTGGGGGACAGGAGCAACTATCTCTGTCCCCTGTAACTCATACTGCCGCTGGGGAATGGAGACTGGGCTCCCAATTCCCTGCAATTCACACTGCCGCTGGGGATCTGAGCCGACCGCCCAGCATCCCTGTAGCTCACCCTGCCGCTGGGGAGGGAGGACAATGCTCTCCTCTCCCTGCACGTCGCACTGCCACTGGGGAAAGGAGACACGGCTCTCTATTCCCTGCAAATCAATCTGCCGCTGGGGATCTGGGCTGACCGTCCAGCATCCCTGTAGGGCCAGTGGAGAGACCTCGGTTCCATCTCCACCTGCCACCTGGGGTTCCTCCCAGTAAATCTCAACAATATCTTCCCAGCTGAAGGGGTCTGGAACTGGATCTGTCACTCTGCTGTTCTGCAGATCCTTCCCAATGGAGTGGAAGAGATCTCGGTAGTCCTGCTCCAGTTCCCACTCCAGGGTTGCTAGGTCTTGCTCTACCTCATGGGGGTCATCCCAGTCATGCCTAGCCTCCCTCTCGTAGAAAATGTCCTGAAGTCTGTTCTGCGCAGGGCTCCCGAAGTCAGGCTCTGCAAAGGACTCCCATAACAAGCCAGGACCATCAAACTCCTCTCCCTCTGGCTTGTCATGCTCGGCTGTCCAGAGTATATACTGTGCCATATACCACCAGAGCGCCTGGTAGGCATCCTCCAGCCATAGCTCCTGCCATACCCGGTGCTCTAGTTCCTTCACCCATTCCTCCAACTCAGATATATTTCACAACTAACAGGGTTATTCAGTAAAGTGAGAATTAAAAAAGTGATTTTAAAGATAATTTCACATTTAAGACCAAAGTAGCTGAACTGGAAGCATAGCTGAAGTAGAGAAGTTTTCCATTCCATTTATTCTGGACTTAAATACAAAATTCCTGCAGAATTTTCATATGAGTAAATAACCGTGTAGGGTTTTTAGTCTGAAAATAATTCTCTTAGAGAGAGAGCACGCTATAAGAATAAAAATGACACAAATGTGCTCTCTATAACAATTAAAATAACTGAAATATATATTGTATTGGAAATATAAATAAAAGTACTCCCAATCACAGTGCTCTCCAGGATTGCAAAGCTTTTAAATGTACTCACAATGTCCAGATGAAGATATTTTACAGACCGCTTCCAGCAACCTTTCTGTGAGAGACTATTTCACACTGAAGTTTTCTCTATGATTGGGTGAATACCAGTTATACAACAGAGCTGTGGACACACCCAAGTAAGCAGCTCTGATGAAGGGCTATTGTAGTTTCTTAACCCCTTAAGGAACAAACTTCTGGAATAAAAGGGAATCATGACATGCCACACGTCATGTGTCCTTAAGGGATTAAAGGACAACTGTCACCTTAAACCCAGAGGCTGCTCACTGTCTAGTAGATATACCTGAACCCACAGTATAGAGCAAGCATGTCAATCTTGCGGCCTGCAGGCCGCATGCGGCCCACAATGGACCTCTTTGCGGCCGCGAGTACATGCTTCGTGTTAAAGCAGAGTAAGCACCTGCTTTCCCCACATTGAGGTCACTGGTGGCAGTGAGGGAGCTCAGTCTTCCTGCTCCTCACTGCTCCCTCGCGTGCGCCATCTGTAGTGACGCCAGGCGCCGGAATATGATGTCATATTCCAGCACCCGGCATCACTAAACTGCGCACGAGGGACCAGTGAGGAGCAGGAAAACTGAGCTCCAGATAGAAGATCCCCACTGGACCCCAGGGAATGATGTGAGTGTGTGCAAGAATATGTAAATGTATGTGTCTGTCAGTGAGTGTGTCTGTCAGTGTGTGTGTCTCAGTGAGTGTGTGTTTGTGTGTATGTCAGTGTGTGTGTGTGTGTCTGTCAGTGAGTGAGTGTGTTTGTCACTCAGTTTGTGTGTGTGTGTCTGTCAGTGAGTATGTCTGTGTGTGTGTCAGCGAGTGCATGTCAGTCAGTGTTGCGATGGCCGCAGCTGGACCGTGGAGTACCTGGAGGTGCACGAAGGCAAGCAACGCCACATCACATTCCCACATGACGTCGACGTGCTCACACCTTCACAAGGTTTCAAGAAGTAGCGGGAGGATCCGCTTTGGCACAGGGTGCGCACTGCGCCATTTGGGGTATACCAGAGGCCGGACTCCGGAGTTGCATACTGGCAGCGGCATTGTGAGTGGAGTCTGCTTGTTGGCTAGAAGGGGCTGCTGTGGTTTAGTAGAGGGGGATGCTGGGGTTTTTTCATACTGCACTTTTCAAAATAAACCTGAGTTTTTATGAAAAGTTTTTTTTGGCCCATATAAACTTAAACCTTGTTTATTTGGCCCGTGCTAGACTTTGAGTTTTACATGCTTGGTATAGAGAGTATAGGAATAAGTAAGGTTTAAAACTTCTCTTATACTAATAGGGGGTCATCCTTATCCCTATAGGATTTTTTTTTTTTTCATTTCACTTTTTTTAATGTGGCATCTGGCAAGTAAACACTGACTAGCCACAACCTGGTTAACCATCATACTGTGATAGTGTT